TAGACTACTCGGGTTTTAATTTTCTTTGGTAGAGTTCCGCTTCTTGGCGGAAGCGTGCTTGTATCTAGGCGATCCATCACAGGCCGAGGATCGTGTAGCGGACCTCTAGTTGGCCTGTTCTCACAGGCCTGTGTTGTATTCGGGGTAGTCCAGTCCAGGCGAGTACCTCTGCCGGTACCAGCCAGTCCAGTGCAGTCCAGTCAGTCCGCTGGGGTATACCCCAGCCAGAGTCTGTACTTTGACTCGTTCTACATTCGCACAGTTGGGAGTACGTGCGTTGGAGTCTTGCATGGGAGCTGCGTTGTGCCATCTTTTTTTTTTTTTTTTTGGGGGGGGGGCCCGGRGGGGAACAATGCTCCAATCTATTCGTGGGGAGCCGCACGTGCTGGGAACCGGGCCCAGCGCTGTGCCATCTTGCTCCAGTCTCATCCTCCATCTCCATCTCTATCCCAAGCGGAGCACCACACCTGGTAGGTCCGCCACAGCGACAGATAAAAACTAGGAGCTTAAAGTACGGGAATAAAAGATCTAAATACTATCTACAATCAAGGAAAACTATAACCCTAAGAAACTAATTAGGGGTTGGAGAGTAATGATGGGGTGATGGTGGTGCCTCTAGGTACTGCAGAGAAGGCTCAAGCCCCTCCTGATGATAATCAGAATCATCAGGGGGGGCGGAGGAGTCAGACCCTTTGTGTTCTTCCCATGAAGCAGAAAGAGTAGCATCAAAATCTTTTTTTTTTTTTGGACAAATGCTCCAGTCTATTCGTGGGGAGCAGCACGTGCTGGGAAAAGGTGATGAAGTTGGGGAACGGGCCGAAACGTGGGCGAGAAATGAGCGGGCGTTGATGGGAGAGTTATTATGTCTCTACCAGAAACCAGCCTGAAAGCTGTGTCCTGTGTGTGTTGAGAATAACCAGCCTTTGCATATCGGGTAGAGAGGATGTTTTGTTCTAGCGGACACATGTGTTTCTGATGGACCAGAGAGCGGCAAGAACTGCTGCCCGAACCAGCTCTGATGCGTAGAGCGGGGGGACCGATTCCAAGTGTATAGCAGCGCCAAAAAGTACATCTGCCGCCAAGTCCCCTGTCAAGAGGAGTGGAGAAGGAGCCTTCAAAGATGGGGCCAAGACCGCCAAAAGCTTCGCTGCAACATGGAGTTCACCCACAAAAGAAGAAAGGTCCTCAGCAGCGAAGGCCAAACAAGGCACAGCGGCGTGTACTGTTGGTGGAAAGCCACTCCGTAGTGGGGATAGCCGGGTGAACGATCAGGCAAAACAGCCCAGCCTTCTTTGCATGTGGTAGCTTATGAATGATATATTTTTGGGATAACTGCTCCTGGGTCTCAAAACGGCCAAAAAAACACTTAATGGTAACATCCTCGTCGTCCAAGTTCAAAACGGCAAAAAAAACACTTAATGGCAACATCCTCGTCGTCCAAGTTCAAATCGGCAAAAAGAACATCACTTTTTTAATCAAACAACAATTTTTTATTTTTATTTTTTAATCAAACAACAGGGTGTTTTTGTTTTTTTGTTTTTTTTTTTTTTTTTTTTTTTTTTTTTTTTTTCCCGTCGTATGGTTGCGTCGCAACTGAAACGAAAAAAAAAACAGGTATTTCGGCCCCATGGTTGGGCCACGGACGAAATGTCTCGGCCACACCCCAGATTGGCCACGGCCGAGATGTCTCGGCCACACCCCAGATAAGCCACGACCGAGATGTCTCGGCCACACCCCAGATTGTACTCTTTAGTGACAATCACGAAAGATAAGCGAATTAATGTGAACTTGAAAGAAGTCAATGCAACACACGTCAGCTGAGGAAAAGAGGGGAGGAGAGAGGAGTGATACACAAGGAGTCATTGAAAAGCCCAAACGCAACTTCATTAAAGATAAACATGAAAGAGCATAGCGATTTCTCGCTTGGCGTTGACCCGACCGGTTTCGCGCGGCCGCCAAACCGCGCTCATCAGGGGTCTTAGAAGTCATGTCAAC